AAGAGGCTGGGGGAGATTAGGGAGAGTTACTGTGTACCTCATTATGTAGAGATGTTAGTATTCGAGGCCCATGAGCGAGCCTGCTATCCGAGGCCTGGATACGTGGCGGTGAGCGAGTACCTGTTTAAGGTAGGTATGCATCTTCCTCTTCACCCCTTCTTGAGGGCGGTGCTGAGAAATTTCATGTTGTCGCCGACCCAGGTTCTACCAAATAGGTGGCGCCAGTTGGTTAGCTCATACTTCCTATGGAAGGAAGTGTCACTTGGGGAGGACATGCCTCTCCACGTCTTCATAACCCTATTCCAGCCTAGGGTAATAGGTAAGGAATCGAGGGAGTGGTATTACTTAACTCCTTGGGGGGGCTCATGTACCATTTGTGGTGGGGCTGCCTTCTTCCATTAAGGGGTGGAAGGAGTCGTGGTTCTGGGTGAGGGGCAGGTGGCAGGTGGTGGTGGGGCACACAGCCCTAACTTGCACAGTACCGACCCAGTACTATGAAGCTTGTGAGTCTCCCAGCCTAAGTTTGCATTCTGTATTCAAATTTCTTTAGATCTAACTGTTGAAGCTTCCTTTGCAGATAGTAGTACGAGGTTTGAGTTGAGCAAGGAGGAGTTTGAAGTGATAGAGGAGATTTACAAGAGACCTCTCAAGCTTCGCTACTTTGACCACCTCATCGACCGAAGTCGCTACTTCCTTGATTTTGAACTGATGGCATCTAAGGGTAAGAAGCTCTTATACTTAGTGTATTTCTTGCTTTTTGTTTTGATGCTGATGCGTTGACATGTTCTGCAGACAAGTTCAAGAGGAGGGAATACCCAACCCCTGATATGACCTCTATACTTAGGGCCACATCCACTGTGAAGGCGAGGCCCCTGAAACTGGGGTCCAGTGGTGCCAAAGAGGTTCAGGGCAGGGTCGAGCGCCTCTCTAAAGACGGTAGTTCACGGGCTCTCGAAGAGGGGGCACCTCAGAGGCCGAAAAAGGCTAAAGAGCCTCGGGGGAAGGAGAAGGTCCCCGAGGAGCCGAAGAAAAGGAAGCTGGTGCACGTCACCAGCTCGTCAGGAAAGTTCGGGACCTCTGTGTCATATGAAGGCAAAGAGACTTAGCCGAAGCTCCTTGTGTCCACCTCGAAAGTGGTAAAGATTGAAATGGTTTGACGAGCCAAGGCTAAGGAGGCTAAGGAAGAGGCTGCGAGGAGGGCAGCTGAGGTGACAAAGGAGGAGGCTGCCAAGCAGAGACCTGCGAGGGTGCAAGGAAAGTCTTCGACCTTCCTTACCGGAAGGGAGAAGGTTCTGGTTTCGGCATTGGTGGAGGCTCTGCCACCTGAGATCCGAAGTGCCACAGAAAGCTTCTACAAATTCTAGACGGATCGGTGGCAGTTGCATGTCTCTTCATGTGACGCCATAGACTTGACAAGGGCCCTTGTGAGCCAAAGTGTGAGGACCTTTGGCCTCGCACTGGAGTGCAGGGAGGCCCTTACTGACTTTCAAACGAGGACCCAGTCCTCGGAGAAGAAGATGGCCTTTCTTACAGAGGAGCTGAAGGGAGCTAGAGCCGAGGCGGAGGAAGCGAGAGCCCAAAAACTTGAAGATACGGTGAAACTGGAGTTTGCCTTGGCTCAGATCGAGGCGTTGAAGAAGGAGGTATATAAGTCCCAGTGCGAGGTAGTCTCCTTGACTAAGAAAGTGGAGGTTTCCAATGACCACCAGAAGGTGACTGCCGAAGCCTTGGAGAAGGCAAATTTGGAGCTGGCTGGGGCCCAAGACGAGTACAAGTTTTTGGAGGGCTAGATAAAGTGGTATGTTGATGATACCACCAAGGCAAGGGAGGAGGCCCATGAGGCGAGGGAGGAGGCGGTGAAAGACTACATTGCCAACTTCCACGATACTGAGGAGTACAAGAGCTTCAGCACTTACTGGAGAAATTTTGCTTATGCAAAGATGATCAAGACCTGTCGCAGCTGAGGTTGGAGTTTGTGGATGAAGTGCCTCAACCCCAGCTGATGAGGCGGTTGGAGATGAAGTAGCAGAGGCAGAAGAAGGAAGTTCTGATGCTCAAGCTGCGGAGGCCCCGGCTGTTGAGGCACCTCCATCGTCGTCCTAGGCTTAGGATAGTTTTCTTTTCAGTTATTTCTGATGTATTAGCCTCAGCCCCCCTCCCCCTTTTGTAATCTTGATTGAAAATCAATACAATATCTTTTTTCATTTAATGTTTTTCCCCAAAGTGTATTGGCCTCGTCAAGCAATTGAACTTAATGTTGATTGAAGAATGAAATAACTTTAACTTGGCATCCTAACTCCAATCACTTGAGCAAGTAAATTGTACGCAAGCCTTACGAGCCATGAATAGTATTGGACTTAAGCAAATGAATTGTACTTAAGCTTAATAATTGTAACCTGAATGGATCCTGACTGGATTGTATTTCAGCTGAACTGGGAATATTGCTGCCTAATTCGAAATGTAGTTGCGTGAAGCTAGTAGTGGTTGAGCTTTGTGCATAAATAGGTGTAAAAGTTTATCTTGTTGAGGCAAGTGCATGCACCTCAGAGTTTGAAGTGGATGGTTCAGCCATGCTGAGGCTTTTTCCAGTGGCGTTCAGCCTCGCCAAAGGGAGGCAAGTGCATGCGTCTCGAAGTTCAAACGAGGTGGCCCAAAGATGGGACGCTGGCCTCTTCTCCGAGGTGATGACGCTTTCCAACATGGTGGATTGTTCAGCCATGCTGAGGCTTCTGCCAGTGGCGTTCAGCCTCACCAAAGGTAGGCAAGTGCCAGAGCTTCGGAGCTCAAACGAGGTGGCCCAAAGATGGGATGCTAGGCTTTTCTCCGAGGTGACGAAGCTTCTCAACATGATAGATGGTTCAGTCATGTTGAGACTTCTCCCAGTGGTGTTTAGCCTCGCCAAAGGGAGGCAAGTGCATGTGCCTCGGAGTTCAAACGAGGTGGCCCAAAGATGGGGCGCTGGCCTCTCCTCCGAGGTGACGACGTAATGGGACACATGAATTCAATCTTGGATAATTTTATTGAATCATGAAAATGTTACATAAGCTGGGAAAGATCGTCCAGCGAGGTAGTACATTCATTGATAATAGATTCGGAGGTGCTCAATGTTTCATGGAAGGGATTGTGCCTTGTCGTTCATGTCTTCAATCCAGTAGGTCCAGGGTCGGATCTCCTCTCTAATTTTATATGGACCTTCCCAGTTTGGACCCAGAGAACCGGTGCTAGGTTCCTTCGAGGAGAAGAAGACTCTCCTAAGGACCAAGTCGTTGATTCGAAATGACTTCTTCTTTACCTTTGAGTTGAAGTACTTTGTCATCTTTCTTTGATATGTGCCAAGCTTCAGCTGGGCGTCATCTCCCCTTTCCTCAATGAAGTCGATGTCGCATCTATGAAGTTCGTCGTTTATTATCTCACTGAAATGCAGACGTCGTGGAGATGGAAGTCCAACCTCGACGGGGCTCATCCCCTCAGTCCCATATGCCATGAGGAAAGGTGTTTCCCCTGTTGGGGTCCTCACAGTGGTTCGGATTGCCTAAAGAACCTGCGGCAGCTCATCCACCCAGGCCCCTTTTGACACATCAAGCTTCCTTTTCAGGACGTGCTTGCTTGTCTTGTTCACAGCCTCAACCTGGCCATTTGCTTGTGGGTGGTGAGGCATGGAGAAGTGTTTCTTGATGCCAAGTTCTTCACACAAGCTTCTGACCTTCTTGTTGTCGAACTGTCTACCATCGCCTGAGACGATCGAGTAGGGAATCCCGAATCGGCATATGATATTCTTCCACAAGAACTTGGAAGTGTTGGCTTCTGTAATTTTTGCCAGGGGTTCAGCTTCAACGCACTTCGTGAAGTAATCAATGGCAACAATTGCGAAGCTCGAACCTCCTCTGGCTTTTGGTAGAGGACCTATGAGGTCCACACCCCACTTCGAGAAAGGCCAAGCGCTGGAGTTCACGGTCAAATCTTGTCTTTGGACCGGAGAGAATCATTGGCATTTGTCACATTTTCGTACAAACTCGAGGGCGTCTCTTTTCAAGGTAGGCCAGTAGTACCCCTGCCTCAGTATTTTTTGTGCTAAAGATAGACTTCCAGAGTGATTGCCGCACATACCCTCATGGACTTCTCTTAAGATGTAGGTAGTCTCTTCTCCTCCGACGCATCGTAAGAGTGGAGAGGAGAAACTCCTCTTATAGAGTACATCATCAATGAAGAGGAAATGGGCTGACCTCCTCCTTAGCTTGTAGGCCTCATGCCTGTCAGTAGGAAGTACCTGGTCCTTGAGGTATGCCACGATGGGCTGTATCCAGGTAGGAGTCCCAGTGACCCACATCACATTGGGGGCCACGGTTGACGGCATGAGGAGGTGCTCTATAAGGACTGCTGTGAGTAGTTTGAAATCCTTGCTACTTGTAAATTTGGAGAGTGCATCCACATGTGTATTTTTTATGCGGGGGATCTGGATCAACTCAAACTTTTCAAAGGATCGAATGAGGTTCATCACCATTTTCAAGTAGGAGGCCATTGTTTTGTCCCTAGCTGAGAAGTTACCGTTGACCTAGTTAACGACCAGCTGGGAGTCACTACTGATGAGTAGCCTCTTTACTTGTATTTCTTTGGCTAACCTGAGGCCTGTGAGAAGTGCCTCGTATTCTGCTACATTGTTGGTAGCCTTGAACCCGAACCTCACCAATAAGTTTAGCTTGTGACCTTTCGGGCTGATGAGGACAACTCCGGCACTTGAGCCGACATCCCCAACCGACCCATCAATGAATAGGTTCCACATAAGGGGCTAGGCTTGTTCCATGATTTCATCTACCTCGGGTAAGTTGGCGAATTCTGCCACAAAGTCAGCTAAGGTTTGGCCCTTGATGGCTGCCCTAGCCTTGAACATGAGGTCAAATTCACTTAACTCCATCGCCCGTTTCAGTAATCTCCCTGAGGCATTAGGCTTTTGGAGTACCTGCCTTAGGGGAAAGTTTGTCAGCCCATGGATGGTGTGGGCTTGGAAGTAGGGTCTCAACTTCTTGGAGGCCGTGATCAAGGCCAAAGCGTGTTTCTCCATATCGGGGTAATGGGTTTTTGGTGATAAGAATGCTGTACTTGTATAGTAAATGGGGAGTTAGGTGGTTCTCTCTTCTCGAATTAGAACTGCACTAATAGCCTCATTGGAGACGGCTAGATATAGCTGTAGGATTTCATCGAGCTTTGGTTTGGAGAGGATGAGAGCCTGCCCTAGGTGCATTTTCAAGTCTTGGAAGGCCTCTTCACATTCCTCATTCCACTGAAACTTCTTCCCAACTTTTAGCACTTTGAAAAATGAGAGGCATTTGTCCGTAGCTTTAGAGACGAAGCAGCGAAGCGCGGCCACTTGTCCAGTCAAGCTTTGCACTTCCTTTGGCTTTTGGGGAAGGGGGAGACCTCATCTTGCATAGGGCCTCAATCTTCTCATGGTTGGCTTCAATACCACGTTGGTTGACCATGTATCCTAAGAATTTGCCGGAGGCCACTCCAAAGACGCACTTGAGGGGGTTGAGCCTCATCTTATATATTCACAAGATTTGGAAGGTGCTGTTGAGGTGCGTTATGTAGTCCCCAGCTTCCAAACTCTTTACCAGCATATTGTCTATGTAGACCTCCATTGTCTTGCTGATGAGGTCCACAAATATTTTGTTGACGAGCCTTTGATATGTTGCTTCGGCGTTTTTCAACCTAAAGGGCATCATTTTGTAGCAGTAAAGGCCTCGGTCTGTGATGAAAGATATGTGTTCCTCATCGGCCGGGTGCATGGGGATTTGATTGTAGCCGGAGTATACGTCCATGAAGCTTAATAACCTGTGCCCAGCCGTAAAGTCTACCAGTTGGTCAATCCTTGGAAGTGGAAAGCTGTCCTTCGGGCAAGCTCTGTTAAGGTTAGTGAAATCGATGCACACCCTCCACTTGCCGTTGTGTTTCTTCACTAAAACTGGATTGGAAACCCACCTCGAATAGGTGGCCTCCCTGATGAAGTTATTCTGGATGAGCTTCTAAACTTCTTCCTTCAGGGCCTCGTACCTCTCAGGATTGAGGGCTCTCATTTTTTGTCTATGCGGGGCAACCTTAGGATCAATTTTCAGGTGGTGGCAATTGACCTTAAGGTCTATGCCTACCATATCCTCATGCCTCCAAGCAAAGATATCGAGGTTCCTACTTAGGAATCCTTGAGCTTTTCTTTCACAGTGCTGGACATGACTTTGCCCTCCTTCAACAATTTGGATGGGTCTCGGGGGTCCACCGAGAAGCTCTCAAGTTTCTCAACTGGGGATGCTTGAGGTTCGTGTTCAATTACGCGGGGATTAATCTCATCGATGACCAGTACTTCCGGATTGGGTGGTGCGTTAATCATTTCGACATCTTTCGGTTCGGCGGGAGCATCACCTGAGGCATCAGCCATAACTGCGTCGGCAATAATTACGTGGACGTCCCGGGGCTCTACCTTTCTGATGGAGATTAGATAACATTCTCTTGAACCTCTTTGGTCGTCTCTCACCGTTGCCACCCCATTTTCAGTCGTGAATTTCATGCATAGGTGGCGGATGGAGGAGACGATTCCCAATTCTTTTAGGGCTGGCCTACCCAATACTTCGTGGTAGGCCGATCGACTGTCGACAACAAGGAATTCCATGAAGTTCATTGTGGTTTGGAAGACTCCCCCATCTCTACTGCGAGTGTGATTTTTCCTCTTGGAGTGATGCTATCTCCGGTAAATCAGTACAAAGGAGTGGTGGTGGATGTTAACTCATGGTCCAGTATCATCTTGTCAAAGGTGGATCCAAATAGAATGTTGATGGAGCTACCATTGTCAACTAACATTTGTTTGAGCCCATTCCGGGTTATGAATGCCCTTACCACAAGTGCGTTGCATTAGGGGTGGTGAACTCCTTCGGCATCCTCCTGGGTGAAAACAATAGGTGGAACTTGATTCCTCTGGGAGTTTTTGTCCACAATGTAGCTTGTTAGAGGGGGGGCGTTTTGCCTCCTGGGCATAATTCACCGCCGACATATAGGCCTCCAAATATGGTATCCACCTCGTGGATAGGGGCTTCATCCTGAGTTTGTCGATTTCTTCGATGTCTGCGCCCTTCCCTGGGCCTTTCTGCATCACGCTCCCTTCGTCGCGAAGAAACATCCCTTTGACGTAGAGTGGCCTCTTCACGCCCAGGTCGGTTATCGTACCTTGGTGGGGGCCTATGCACCTGGTGTGATTCATTTCTGTCCCTAGGGGATTCCTGTCGGGAGCGGTGAGCGTAGTCTTGGCAATCTGTTGTGTCGTGTCCATAGGATCGGTGGTATACATAGTATCCAGGTGGGTTTTAATTCGACTTATTTCTAGGTCCCGAACCCCGGCCTCGGCCTCTACCCCTAAGGGATCCTTGCAAAGTTCCCATCTGTTGGGTGTCGATGACGGGGTTGATATTTTCATATGCCAATGTAGGGACGACGTTAAGAGTGGTGGTGGTCAGTGCTTGCCTAGAACTCTCATTACTAGCTTGGTTCATTTGGTAGTCCATTAAGTGGGAGGTCGACCCTCTAGCACGCTGCCTTTGTGGAGGTGGGAGGCCTCTATTCGCCTCGTTCCTCTGCTCAATCAATTATTCATTGATGATCTCCCGTCTCATCATCTCGAGTAGGGCATCATAGGTGGTGGGGTCTTGATTTTGCATGTCCCTCCAGAATAGGGTTTTCATGTTCAAACCTCCTCTCAATGCAGACAACGCCTCATGGTCGGTGACTTGCACACAATATGTCATATCATCGGTGAAACGTGATAGGAAGCTCTTCAGGGACTCTCCATGTGCCTGCCTCATGTCTTGGAGACGTTAGATGGGAGCCTCTCCCTCTTTGCTCACAGAGAACCTCTTCAAAAAGATCGTCTTGATTCGGGCCAACTCCTTATGCTCCCAGGAAGTAACCTACTATACCAAATTTCAGCTGCTCCGCTAAGTGTTAAGTGGAAAGCTCTGCATTTCATAGCTGGGGGGCGCCCTTTAGGCTCATGTGAGTTTTGTAAGCATTCAGGTGCTTCTCTGGGTCACCTTTTCCGTCATACTTTAGTATC